TTTTTATGGATCATGCAGGGTTCACAGATCAATTAAGGATGATTTCCTGCTCTTTGTTTGAGAAGGTAAAAGACAACTGCCTTTCTATAGAAATTAGTTTGATCATGCAATCAAACTGCAATATAAATCTTCATTCCTGCCATATGAAATAATGGTATGTAATAATTAGTCACGAGAATTTTGTAGCCAACAAGATTTATTGGCCATGTAAGCTGAAGTTCTGGCTGGAGACATATATATGTCTCAGTTAGTTTCAGAGTGGTTTCAACAGAGGGTTTAGCAAAGACATTACAGATGTTCTAGCCCAGACTCTCTCCAAGCTGACTAATTCAATGTGGCTTCTCTTAGCTTCTCACTGACTTGCTCTGCTTGGCCTCAAACTAACTCTGGAAATCCGTTCTAATCTGGCTGCTTCTCACTCTCTGGCTCATTCTATCTTCACCTGTGTCTAGCTTGTTCTGTCTGCAACCTGTCTCTGAAAACTGTACCTGACAAAAACTGCCTCTGCACTCCACCAACTGAAATGCCACAAATTCCACTCTATTGCACTTCCTCTTAACTCATTGACTAGACTGAACTGGCTGACTCAAACTGAAAGAGATCTGAAATTCCCTGTCTCCTGAATGCTGGGATCAAAGGCATGTACTAGCATACCTAGTCCTAAGCTTTTCTTTACCTGAAACTTATTCTATACCAGGTTGGGCTTGAATTTGGAGATCTGCTGTGTCTGTCTCCTGGAATTAATGGTGTGTTTGTATTCCAGCCAGGTCACACAGACCTAGAAGGTTTTTTGATGTAATCCCTTGCCAGAGAATCCATGTTTCTGGATTAAATTTCCTCTATTCTTGGATATAGAAGATGGACCTGGCTCAGATCAGGTATCTTCAAATCTTAATGAGATGAGAATATTTTCAGTGAACTTACAAAATCCTCATAAGATGACATTATCTACAAAAGGACACAATTTTGTAGATAAAACAAGATGATGTCATAGCCATGTTTGTGTTTACATGTTTGGAAGAGTGTATCATAGAAGATTGGGTTTTAATTTCTCAGAGACAGAAAGAAGCAGAACTGGTTTAGAACTCTGCCAGGTTTCAAGGCTCATCATTTTAGAATAGAAAATACAATATACATAGGATTAATGATACAACATAATGAGTTGGAAGCATATAATGAAATTAACATGCAAGGCACTGAAAAAGTATTGTCCATGGCAATAATTGGCAGAGATTCCTTCAGAGTGTATTTTAAATAAATGAATAATAAAGGGTTATGTGGATGACAGATATTCAAGTAGAGATGAGTGAATACAAATGGATGATAATTTGATGATAAAATTGATAGGTGGCATAGATGACAGACAGATGACTAAACATTTGTGTACACAAAATCATACTATACAGTTTAATACCCATTTTCACATATTTTCTTCACAGCTGTGTGAAAGAGGGCATATTTGCAAATCATGATAACTACCCCTGTGGGACTGTGTCATAGATGCCATCCAGACCCATTGTCGCCCTCTCTGTCCCACACTTTACTTACATTTTTCCCCCTCCCTCTTCACCCACTTACATGGTGACAACAAGCCCCTCTGCTTCCACTAATTTTACAAAATGTAGAATCCAAATGATTTTAATCATCTTACCACACAGAATTACGTGGTCTGTGCTTTGTGTCAGTTTTGTACTCACAGGATCAAATGATGGGCATATGTGTACTGGAATGTAGCCAGGTTATTCCTGACTGTAACGCATTTATTTACTAGGTGATTCAGCAGGAAGACTGGTGCAAATGCACACTAGAGTTTTTCATAGCAGTCAAAGGGAAGACACCCTTATCCTGTTTGCAAATCCACAGTGAAGGTTGACAGCACATGTACTCCAAGTCTCAAAACCAGTCTCACACACCCAAGCTCTCAATCCCTGGACATTGAGAGCATGGTCAGAGTAAGGGGATGCTGTCTTCATTTCTTTGGTGTAGTTCTTTAGCCCAGTTACAAATCAAGTTTAGATACACTATTCTTATCTACATATCCTGAACCAACAGGACACCATCCCCTGAAATAACCATAACAGACAAAGTGATGCTGCAGTCTCAGTGGAGGGATAATGGAAACACAAATGTCTTCTGAGAAGGGATACAAAATTGCTCTGGGTTTGTCTTTGCTGGAAAGCTTCTCCATGGATGTCACTGTGTACTTCAAAGAACTAAAATATTTCTAGCAGTCGCTGTCGTCTGTGTGTTTTATCAGGTGGCTGCATGCACAGAGGAGTTGTGTTCTCTGAAAACATGATTTAATGTGCTGGAGAGGATGCCTGTTACTTTTTAGCCACCATGAGCTTCTCTGCCCCTACAGGCCCAGGGTTGGGAGGTGTCTGCTCTTGTGGACACACCTGGGTCTGGGTTTGGAACGGAAAGATCACTTTTAAGATCTCTCTTTCCATGTTTCTACTGCAGATATTAAGTCTCTTAAAGCCCAAGTAACAAAACCAAGGGATTTGGAGGGAAAAGGAGAACTTTGTGCAGTATAGACAATTGCTTTGAAGATACTAGCTGGGCAGTGGGAATGTAAGTGGTAGGTGAAATAAATTGTGAATCTGGGTATATTCATCAGGATTCTCTAGAGTAACAGACCTTACAGAATGAATATCTATCTATCTATCTATCTATCTATCTATCTATCTATCTATCTATCT